TAACACCCTGTAGCTCGAAAACTAAGACGTTTAGGGCATATACAATATATTGATATAAACTTTCCTTCTTACAATCATCCAAATATTCGCATACTGAAGTATCGGCACTCAATTAATTAACATCCTGGTATTTTGAAGAAAGTTTTTGCGTGAAAACTCAATTTTCACAACAAATTCCTAATTACCCAACTCAAGTGAATTACTAGATTTATGTTCGTTAAATATATTTTTTAATTTAACCCCATTGTGAAGTTTTTAATTAAAACAAATACGCTTTTACTGCATGAGTAAAAGAAGCAATCATTGGAATACAGTAAAGTAAATCCATTTTCTATATGCCGGTTTTGGATTAAAATTTTTTCCAATTTTTACCATAAACACCATCGTTAAGTAAATACTTTTGCGACCGGCCAGGGTTAATTGCAATAGGTAAATGGCACGTCGATATAATCCGACCTTTAGGGCATTCAATTTGAGATGGCTATATATTTTTAAAATAACTTATAACCAAAACCGGCATAAAGAAAACGAATAGACTGTACGTTCGTTACCAAACACCCTGCATGATTTACAGTTTATGTAAACAAATTCGCTACCAACAAATTGATAAGAGAAGCGTAGTTCGCGCGCCCCGTGGGTACCATCTGCACGCGATAACAGCCTCGACGTGGTGGTGAATACCATGAATCATCTGGAGGATTTGAGCCCAACATCGCCGAGTCTCGGGCTGGCCTGTACACACACACATTCATTAGTAGTAGTTGTAGTAGTAGCGAGAACACCAACGGCTGCGACGCAGGCAGTTCGCAGTCCGCAGCATAGTCAGAATTCGAACTCGCGACGCGGCGGGCCATCGAAAAGTGCAGGTGTCGTGCAGGTGACCGAGTGCTATGCGCGCCAGAACGGGAGCTTAGCGACTTCTTCTCGGCCAAAAGCTCTCCGACCAAGGCCAAAAGTAAATCAGGGGTTCGGTTTTAAGTTTGCCAGTTTGGTTACTCAAACGCATGTGACTAATGCGGCTGATTTTAGGTTAGCTCATGTCTTTTTACTCAGTACTTTTGTCGTTTGTAATAATTTGCTGGCGCGCGCTTTTTCTCTTTATTTTTATGGGTATGAAAAATTTAATTTCGTTCGAGAATTTCGAGGTTGTGTTCTAATAAATTGAAGCATGTTGGTTGCATCTGTTAGGGGAAGCAGTTAATAAGTATTTTAATAGATATTCGTTTAATTAATGAGTCAATCTGAGTTTGGATGTAACTTAAGTAACTTAAGCATGTGACTAATACCAATTACGAGATTAAATTATGCATCGAAATATTGCAAGACAGTTAGTTTGCTAAGAAATTTTACTTTTTAATAGATTAGTTTTTTAAGTACTTACTACAAATAATCTGGAGTAAATATATTATTGCACTTCCGGAAATATTTGGTTTTATATAGATAATTTATTACTTAGTTCTAGATTATTAGTTATTTTAGATTTTATCTTTTCAGATTTTTTCACCTAAAAATACAATACGCGATGAGGTTCTTATCCTCCAAAATTAATATCGTCACCATATAAAAATAGACATAAATCTTTTAATAAACAAGTCTAGTTAAAAATAATTCAAAGGCATCAATTTAAGTATATTAACCACATTTTAGAAAGAATGGACTTCCTGTGAATTACTCAAGGAAAATGCTACGTATTAACGGCCTTAAATGTAATGACCTCAACAGTGAAACTGCGAAAATGAACTAATTATAAATACGATGTCTTTCAATTGGCTCGTTGAATAGTCGTTTTTAAGTAACTACAATGAGTTCAATGTGCGGCGTTATAAAGATTGAGCACTTGTTATATTGCTGGATTTGTTGTAACGCCAAAAATTCGAAGCTGTTTACATTTTTCGTTGAAATTAAGCGGACGTGTTCCAAATTTAAAATTACCGACTAAATATGACATGTCATGCACTCCATTTCCTCTTCAAAACCTTCGTGCAGTCTTTATTTATTTACTTTTTTTGTTTTCCTAATCTCCGTATCATTCTAAAGGCTTTAAATCTTAGTGAAATATATTAGCAAAAGAGAATTTACGGGACCATTAACCGACATTCAAACTCAAACTACTATTATACTAGACCGCAAAGGCATGTGTCACGACGAGATGCTAGTTGAGGTTTACTTTATAAAGAAAACAGTTAATTTACAAATCTGGACTTTTAGAGCTCAGCGAGCTCTCTCACATCTCTGAAAATTACATGTTATTTGTAAGCAATAGGTAGGTTATCTATTGCCTGTATTTTTGCGGTTCGCGTATTATGTATTAGCAAATTATCCTACTGTTGTAGGCGTTTTACGCGGAATAAACCATTATCGCAAAGAGTTTTAGCCTACCTGGACGAGCAACTGATAACAGACAAAGAAATATAGGTACCTGGAGCAACAACGTTTCTACTTCTTAGAACGATAGAGGCGATTTTAAAAATAACTGTTCTTTCAATTTTTTTACATTTTACTATTTATAAATTACTAGAAGAGGAAGAGCTTTCACTCTCGATTGCACTTGATTTGGTTGAGAGATTTTACCCTAAATTATTTACACGTCGTTGTTTAGAAATTCCAGCGACGAACAAGAATAATATTTACAATATACTAGCAAATATGCATACTCTTAGATTAAACATTTAAATGAATAACTAAAATATTCGCTTTTTTGTTTTTTTTAATCACTCAGGTTTATTTATAATGGTTACCACCAATGCTATTCCTTGAAGTCAAATTTATCAAAGTAACTTATAGACTTAAGAGTTCATCATTCCGAGTGGCACATTAGGGGATGTAAAATAATTGTTCTAAAAAAAGATTCCGAGATGCATTAGTGCCGAGAATAGTTCTAAGTTTCAGGTCGCATTCGACTATGACTATTTAGTTTATTTGTACTTCTTGTTTCTAAATTTACCCGAATTATTCTTCGAATCCCAGCTGGCAGTTATTGACAGGGAATATTGGTTTCCCGCAAACAATAGGTTGCGCTTGCCACATTTCAAATAGTTTAGGTATACTCTGGTTCGAATGGTTTTCGCGAAACGTTACCGTTATGGATTTATTTTCATCGAGGGCATAAGCGCCTACTTACGTTAATTTACAGCATCCGCTTTTGGTAATTATTCCATCTAACATTGGTAGGCCAGATCCAGATCGCATCTCTCGTTGTGTCATGCGTAAGTACACGCATGCACATAAACCACTCATTCAAACGTTCGAAAGAGAATACATATATAAAAATTATTTGAACTTCTACACTCGGGGTCACGGCTGTAAAGCGTTCATATGTTACATGTCTTGGTGGGAAATTGTTTTTTCTCCAAACTCCTTTTGTCTTTATTCCCGATGCCCGGGATCGTTTCGTCCAGGTTTGTTTTATAAACAACTACGTTCGTACTGATTTTCGGTCAGAATTCGTTTACATAATCCCTATTGCCACATGTTGTAAGGTGTACACCAACAACAATAAAAATAGCATTAGGTTACAGAACTGTAATGGTAGAATTGGAATGTAACTAGTCTAGCAAATTTTTCGGTATTAATAAAGCCGAGAAAAGTATGTTTCTAAACTGGTACTTATTGAAATGTTGTTCCTATTGACTTGCAAATTACATCTATTAGTTACATCTATTCTTATTATCTGTTAAATAAGAGATAAATAGACTCATTATAATATGGCTGATTTGAATTTGAGAGACGTTCCTGCGCTTTGTAGCATCAGCTTGACATGAAATAGAAACGCATATCTCACTGCTGCAGTGGCACAATATAAACACAATACCGGATATTATATTTGATGCTGAAGATGTGTCGATGATAGCTGAAAATAGCAAATACCTCCAGCCATCCAGCTACGGAAACGTACTGCTTTATGGCTCGCTTTGAGGTTCACTGGACTGTTAGTTTAGATAAAAAACAATGAAAAATGAGTAATAGAGCAAAGTAACGTTTAACAATCCGAGATACGATTTACGATTGCAAATAGAAAAATGATCCTTTTAATTACGAAACGCTTTACGTCGAAGAAAGGAGAGCGATAAATTATTTGGCCGTTTTTTCAAACAATTCGAATTCGAAGCGTGAAATGTGAAATGTGAAAAATTGTAAATAATTGATAGTGATTCCAATTGTGCTGTCTAGATGAAACGCTGAATAGATTCTAACGAACTACTAATAGTAGAGTAACTGCATTGATATTTACGATCTTGATATTTAAACCACGAATTAAGTGAAATATTTCCCAATCGTAAATTGCCTATTTCTTTGATCTACCTTCTAGTCTTAGCGGCACGTTGAAAATGTAATCCAATTTAGTAGGTCATTGAAAAGGATATAATTTTTTTGTACAATTTTAGAATAAAAATAATGATATATTAAGCAATTTAACTAGAATGAAACGATTTAATTTAAATTTCTAAAAATTATTATTCAGTAGGGATTTTGAGATTTATTCGAAGATAAAATCATTAGTGTATAAAAGTACCGCTAATCCTATATGCATTAGACAAATAAAAATAGCCTGTAAAAGGCTAAGTTAACTATTTTCTTCAAAAAACTTTCTATGTACTATCATCCTACAAGGATGGCATTACTATTTTCGTAAGGCCGGTTTTATAATCTTAAATTTATAGCCTGGTAAAGGATGTAACGGTGTCTCGGAAAAACTATTAAAAACCAGCATTGTATGTTCGCGAAAATAATAGAATTAAAAGAGTGGGAAATGTTAACATACGAATACCGTTGCAGCACGTAATTAAACAATTACAAGTTTGCGGAAATTGATTTTTGGAATCCCACAAGAAATTATTTAGCTTAATAAAAAACCCTGTAGAGGCTCGACTTTTTATACCCGCATATATCTGATAATATATCTAATCAATGTCGATTAAGTCGTCACAAAGTCTCGGTAATCGAGATAATTTTCGGTGAAATCGATAGTTACATCAGTAACAAATCAGTATTCAACGTAATATTGAATGATTCGGTGGCCTTAGTTAACAATAACTTTTTGTTGTTGATTTTGATATACTGGAGAATCGTAAATTTCGTTTTTTTTTAATTCGCAGGACAATGGATGTTGTTAAAATACCGGTAGGTGATTGTTGTAACGTTGAAAAATCTGTATTAATTAAAAAAACATACATGATTGTTATATTGTTAACGATAATAACACAGTATAAAGATATGCTATAACATGCATATTATATTCGCTATTTAATTAATAAATCATTGTATAAGCACACATAAAAAATTCATTTCGATGTATAAGTGTGTTCAGGTTTATGCTAATAAATTCATCTTAATATCTAATCGATTAACGTCGCTATTTAGTAAAAGTGAAATGCATTAAATTGAATTTAATTAAATATTTCAATTTATTATATCATAATAGGTGACAGGCACAAAAATAGCATATATTGTGTAATATGTATACAACATTTAGCACATAGTCGGTTATTTTTAAAGCTAATAATAGACGCTAGTTATTAGCGCGTCTGTGATTTTAAAACGAACAATAAAAATATTTCGTATATGAAATTGCTTTCACTTATTTATTATATTTTATAATTTTCATATACTAAAAATAAATCAAACGGATATTCATTAATTTAGGCAATTTAATTACGTGCTTAATAGTCAAAAGCTAGAATTTTATTCTACTTGTTGCGTAATAAAATGGATTACCTAGATAAAACGATTCACTAATTACTAGCTTGTCAATCATCTGATTTTTGATACAAGCATTTACTGCCGCTATATAGATGTATTTATAAAAAACTAAAGTTATCATGAAGACATGTGGTTGAGATATGATCGTTTCTATTTGAAATTCGAGTGCCCAAGAAAGTTTCGTTTATTCCACTATTCATATTTTATTTAGTTCACTTTACGCTCGACAAGAATTCCAATCGATCGAAATAGTTCCTGTATATGAAAAAGAAATTAGTTCCTTTTATTTCGTTATTAATTCAATTACGCCGATATATTGAAACTTGCCACTCGGAATTTTGGACAAGCAGCGAAAAAGTAATAAACTACAAAGTCACGAGCAGTTAGTTTACATGTGAAATTAAAAATAGACATAATTATAACAGTCATCCTATATTCATTTAATGCTTTCTAAATAAAAAAAATATTTTATTAATTATTTTTCGTTTTCCATTATAGCGAAATCAATATCGCATATAATAGAACCGAGTTAAATTGACCTGTAATTTAATTTTAAATAATAATATTGTGTGGATACATACAAGTAGATGCTACTAAACCTGAATGCTCTTGTTCAATAATTACGGCTAAATTACTGCTATAGAATATAAATAATAATTTAAAAATAAATACCAGACGGGTAATTGATATTATTTTTATCAATACGAAATTATGCAGCAACTTAAATAATAAGCAATTATTGTTTTTGTTTTACTCGTTATTTTATGCAATATTTATTTTATTATCAGACCTGTATCCCATGGTACTTTAGTGTAATGTAAGTACATTATTATTTACGGTATTATTCATCAATACTCGTATTGAAAGATGTGTATTTTGAAATTAAAAACTGTTTGGTTTATACTGTCAACATTAAAACGAGTATAGCTGTAAAAGCAATTAGTAAATAATTTCGGGAATATTTTTCTTCATAATTTTCGACTACGTTACGAAATAAAGCAAACAAAATCCCCTGAGAATGATAAATGTTTAGTAAAACTATATGCAATAGATTCCGTTGGTCTAATCTCAGAAAGTTTATTTGATTAGTTAAGTACTGAGCAAAGAAACGATCGGGCACGATAAAAAATACATAGAATATGAATTAAATAAAACTTGTGCATAAATCAACAGCGAGTTGATTAATGATAGAAAATGCGAAATTCGCTTTCTATGATATTGCATATTTTCTTAATCGTCTCATTTTTACCTAGATAAAAATTTTTGTAAAAGTTATTTGATTTCTAATGATTATTATACGTGCAATTAAAGTTGTGCATTTTTACTGTATCTATATTTTTTATCTAAATAAAAAATGTTTCTACACAGCTTAACGCATCGATAAATTTTTAGATTACGTTAATAAGAATTTATTGGTTTGGTGTAGGATGTCACGTAGAAATATTTGAAATTGGAAACAGCAGTTTTGCTGAATTTTTAGTAAACAACAGATAAATCTTCTGTCAACAATGATATCATTCCGCAGGTAAAATACATAATACCAACAATTAACAATTAGATTTTCCTAGCAGATAAACGTAAGAACAACTTTTTTAATTCGGATAAATCAAATCGCTTATTAAAAACATATTTAGGCTCACAGTTTACGCTATTACATATGACCTGTGTCCTTAGCAGACAAAACCTGAAGGTCACACTAAATGTACCTTCAACGCAATCATTAATTTTCTGATTACATCATCACAAAAAGCAAGAGAACAAGAATAGAGAACTGTGTGATTACAGATTACACACAAACTTCATTTAAAAGGATTACCTCTAATTTAATTTAAATAGTTATTATTTCTAACTACTGTTATTACACATAAAGGCACTTCACCGGACGTATTCACGGTACTAGTTTCTCATGCAGACTGTAACGTGTACGTGTACTTAGAATTTTTTTTTTTATAAAGTACACAAATATTATAAATTCGAAACGTACGTTAAAATAAAGTAATACGTTAAATGTCATTGCTAAGTCACGATTCGAGCAGAGCTCAGCTGTCACGAATCGACAATACTGACAATTGTTCTATGAGAATATAGCGTAACGCTATTTTTACGTTATCGATAACGTATGAGAGACCTTAAAGATATTTTTATAGATGATGAACTCACAATTATTCCTGCGGTTCTTTTAGGCGAGCCGTGTGATAGGTTAAACACTATTTGTTGGGGTTTTGCCAAGCGATGGTCTCAAGAATGAGACAAAAAATTAGGACACTTATAATAGTTGCTCTAAATATGCAACGAGGGCAACATTGAAGCGGTTGGCCCGTCCGAAATCGAGCACAGCGAAAAATTTGCATGAAACGGAAGAGATACTTCGGAGATAAAAAGATCGGTCGCGGTAATTTTGCGGCGTTCGATGAAAACCTAATATTTCGGTGAAAGCGGACCTCCGGTAATTAAAAACGCGTATCGGGCGATTGATATTTTTGTCGCGAAAAATGTTAAGTAGTCCGGAACATGTGTATACGAAATCGATAGATGTGTGAATTAATGGACCGTGCGAATAATCATTTTTTTTACTATGTAAATATTTTGTTGTATATGTTATATTTGTTGCTTCGTGTAATCGTACCAAACGACAATCTTTAGAAATTTTATAAAAAACCGGATGAGGATGTATTAGTACTCTAAAATGGACATGCTTTTTATACATATTTATGAATACACAATTTACAAATATGCCGTTACATGGTAGAAACCAAAACAATAGATATATGGAAACACATTACAATGGTAAATAGGTGGTATAACATGCTATATACTCGTAATATCATGTAGGAAACACGGAAGTTGAAACATTTTAGATTTTATTACTAACTCTAATTTGCTAATTTCTCTCTTTTTCCGTTCGATTTTACTGCTGCTATTTCAAAAATATTTTTTAATCGAATCGAGGCAAGCCGATGGAATTAAGTAATTTGTGAGTCGGAGAAAATCAACGCTTTCAAATTGTTTATACATTTCTTTGAGCGGCTGTCAGCCTTCAATTAAAAAAACTAGGTTAATTGTAATTGGTGTTTATAAGCTATCAATTTGCAGTTGTTTTAAGAAAATCTTTCGGAAAACGTTTCATTTCGCAGGAATATGAAATGTGTCATTATGCACAGAGAAAGCTGTTTGCTTCTCGTAGGTACCTACCGATAGCATCACTTTATTTGTAGGCTTTTGTTCAATACCACAACTAAAGAATACCATCCTGTTTTCAACAACTCCCATAAGAGATGCAGTGCGTAGATAGGATTAATTTTTTTCCTTCAAATACCAAGTTGCATAATTTCATAGATAGCCATCTCGGCGATCTATCCCAGCAGGCAGCATGACTGTATGAATTTTTACCTCGTCAAATTTTCACGGTGATGCTTTTCAATGAAAACGACGCTGATAAAAATTTTACTGCAAAGGTAATATTACCGTGACCTAAGCTCTACAATTTGCGAGTTATTGTGGAGAATTAATGAGTGCTCCTAATCGAATAAAATAGGAATATAGGCAGTTGTCACTGATTGTGTCAATGGCATTGCGGCATTTAAAAATAAAGCAAATAGCGATGTAATGGGAGAACAAGATCTACTAAAATCAGTGGCGTCGAAAAAATCCGTAATAAAATATAAAAATGTTTTAAAACTAATTTAATGTTCAGCGTGCTGTTAATAGAAGTGCTTTACAAGATATGTTATTGCCTATAATGAACTCATTATGATTAAACTCATTACGAACTCACTTGATTATTTTTTAAATTATCCTCTTTGCTAAAATTTGGATTATTATAAGAATGGTTATTTGAATGAATATATTGGATATTTTTTTTATTTTTTCTGATTATTCCATGCGGTTGCACCACTGGCAGATCTCCAGTTTCTCAGCTTCTTTGAATAGGGTCATTTGATACCTCCCACGGCCTAATCGTTGAAAATAACCAGGAATACTTACAACGTCTGAAGTATCGAAAACAGCCAGTCAACCGTAAGGTGTGAATTGATATTTTAAATTTCTCCTTTTAAAAATCTTAAAAGGCGTGGATTTAAAGCCTTCTTCGGGAGATTTGAATATTTAACTGCCCGTTTAGTTTTGATGCAAAGGGCCCGGCTTCTGTTTATTTCTTCAGAAAAACGTTGAATATTCATCTACTCGTCGGAGACTTATACGAAAACTGCAATGAGTTACAAGCATTTGACACGTGATTGTTCATGCTATGCTAAGTTTATCGAGTGCAACGATTTTAAATGGTTCTCTCGGCAGCTACTTACAAAAAGATTGAAAATCACGTCGACATGATTTCTTGTAAAATCTGAAATCACTCGGTCAAAACACCATTTACAGTTACAAGAAGGCCAATTTTCTTTGTAAGTGACTGAAATAACTATCGA